TTCGTGATTCTGCACAACTTCTAATTTTTATTCGTGGGATGAATGACTATTTCGAAGTCACAGAAGAGCTTGCTGCACTGCAAAGCATCAAAGGAACAACTACAGGAGAGGATATCTATGAAAAGGTTTGCCAAACTGTGAATGGTTTGGAGCTGAATTGGGCTAAACTAGCCAGTGTGACAACTGATGGTGCTCCTAGCATGGTGGGGTCTAAGAAAGGAGTAATTGCTCGCATTAACCAAGAGATGGACAAACATAACCATTCTCATCCAATAGCCATACACTGCCTCATCCACCAACAAGCACTGTGTAGTAAATCACTGAAGTGGAACTCTGTTATGAAAATTGTGGTATCTTGTGTTAACTTCATTAGAGCTCATGCACTAAACCACAGACAATTTCAGGAATTTCTGTCTGAACTAAATGTTGACTATGAAGATGTTCTGTACCACACAGAAGTCCGTTGGCTGAGTCGAGGGAGAGTTTTGAAACGTTTCTATGACTTACTTCCACAGATTACAGCTTTTCTGCTTTCAAAAAACAAAGAAGTACCAGAGCTCAATGATGCAGAATGGAAATGGCACCTTGCCTTTCTGACAGATGTAACAGAGCTACTCAACAGTTTCAATGTGCAACTTCAAGGAAAGGGGAAGCTCCTCTGTGATATGCAATCACATGTCAAAGAATTTGAAGTAAAATTAGGCCTCCTCATCAAACAAGTTAAGGAGGAAAACTTCTGCCATCTCCCCACAACTCAAAATCTGTTAGCGGAAAAACCATTGGTTGCAATTCCCAAACAAAACATGTGTGGATTCACTGGAAAAAATGCAAAAGGAGTTCCAATTTAGATTTAAAGAGCTTCATCTCCATGAACAGGACATACAGCTTTTCCGTAACCCATTTTCTATTGACATTGAAAATGTGGATACAATTTACCAAATGGAACTGGCTGAACTGCAGAATTGTGACTCTCTGAAAGACGCATTCAAGTCAAGCAGCCTTCATAATTTCTATGCATCTCTCCCCTCTGAGACATATCCTAATCTCAGGAACCATGCACTCAAAATTGCAACCATCTTTGGCAGCACTTATGTCTGTGAACAGACTTTTTCCAGAATGGAACATTTGAAATCTCCAACCAGATCTAGACTAACGGATGCACACTTGCATCACTTGTTACGACTAGCAGTGACAAATATGGAACCGGACATTGACCATCTCATTAGCCAAAAGCAGGCCCATATTTCCCATTGAAATACTGGCAAGTTTGTTGATTTAACTTTACTTGTTCTTCATTTTAAATATTGTATTTGTTCCCGTTTTATTTCTTCACTTCAAAATAAGATATATGCAGTGTGCATAGGAATTTGTTCATAGTTTTTTAAACTATAATCCGGCCCTCCAATGGTCTGAGGGACAGTGAACTGGCCCCCTGTTTAAAAAGTTTGAGGACCCCTGGTATAGAGTATTTGGCTGCGATACATCTCTATGCAATACGCCACTTCACTGAGCTCGCAATTGTGATCAGGTCGCTTCTGAAAAATAGCTATGTAGCTCGGTGAGCCTTTCCTGGTAAAATAAACCATCTCCTGCATCTCTCTGGTGGTCTACTTCTTTGGACGTACGCGCTCTTTTGGCTTCAAGTCCATCATCGCCGTCGTCCATCTGACATCATCTTAATTCACAATGCGCCTTGACTAAGGCGCTGAGAAAATAATTAACTATTTTTACAGCAGAAGTGTGATGAGATGAGTTGATGAGGACAGTCGTGCATGAGTGAAACGAACTTAGATGAAAGTGACAATGAACAGTTAATGATGAGTGAGGATGATGAATGGGTGGGGAGATTGGCAAGAGGGATGGAGTTAGCGATGGGGAAGGGGGGTGAGGGAGCTTGAGTAAGACAGAAAAATCAGTGAGTGTGTTTTAAGGGAAGAACGATCAATAGACCGTGAGGATTATTGTTTGACGTGTAGGGGCAACTTATTCCAGTTTAAAGGGGGCCAGAAGCGAGAAAGAACGGAATCGTGATTTGGCACAAAGCATCCTTCCTTCCCAAGCCCAGAAACAGAATCAAAAGACGAGTGTGGAAATCATATGCAGAGTTATGCTAAAGCAACACGTATATTATACACCCCATACGTTTTCGGGTAGGGGAATGCGATTTTTTTTATTAAATGTTTTTTTTTATGACAACCAAAACACGAGCCCCAATGCAACACGCCGAGAGGTTCCAACGGCAGGGTATAGAAAATCCACAACCACCACAGGAGATGCAGCAGAACCCCAACATGCACGTCAGCAGATGTTGTCTCTTACGTTTTGGATCTGGCAACCCAAGTTCTCTCACGGTCGAGCACGCCTGCGGTGGTGGCTCTGCACGTGGCCTATAATCCAGCACCGTGGAGGTGACGTTTGGTGGATCGGGCAAATTCAAAACTATTTAATTATTGAATAATTTTAATTTTAACAGGTAAGGCTCACTGAGCTATACAGCTATTCTTCAAAAGCGACCTGGACACAGATGATAACTCAACGAAGTGGCTTATCGTCGTGTGGAAATTTATAGGAGCCAAATACTCTAAGCGCATGTTGATTTTAAATGTGGAGGGAAAAAACTAAGGGGAGAAGATGCAAACTCCAAATATACAGGCGTCAGGGTCCGGATCGAACCCACGACTTCCTCTATACCAGGCGAGGTAGTTAACATCCCGCCACCGTGGTCGCCTCACAAATCACACAATTTATTTCCTTCCCACGGGCATTGAGGTGCCATACCCTGGATTGCCAGCAGAATGCAGTACAGCAAAGTGTGGACTGATATCATCTGTCACTTCTGTACGGGGATAGAGTGTTGCACCCTCGCATGCGTGGGTTTTTTTCCAGGTGCTCCGGTTTCCTTCCACGTGTATAGCCACTCGCTAATTAGCTGAAAACATCTTAATAAATAGAGAACTGCAGAGCAATTGTTAGCTCCGGCTCATCGCCTGGCAGCCTTTCAGTTCAACTTGTGTACGCCAGCTATTGTGAGATGCAATTTACATGAACGATACTATACAAATTAATTACTAGACTTTTATTTATTTTATGTTTAGAAGTGTGCATGAGCTCTATGCAGTTTCCCAGTCTTGCGGATGTGCTTGTGTCAGCATTAAGGGGCCGTCCATAAATGACGTCACATACCCAGGGGGGTAGGGGGGTCAGATATTTGTGACGATGTGTGACGAGAGGGGGAGGGGGGTTTAAAAAATGTGACGTTACATCAAAATGCGCAACCTTAAATAAATATAAGCAATAGAATTGTGAAAACAACACAAATTTTGAATAACTTTCATTTATAACTATTTGATTATTTTAATTTACTAAGGTCACCTTTCATTTATTCCATGAAGGAGCATTTTGCTTCTCCATGGGAGAATGGAGAAGCATAAATGTTGTAAAATTTTTGAATGATTGTTATTAAACATTTTGATTCTAATGATTCTACCAGGGCTTTTCATTCTGTGGAATGAATATGTGATTGTTATAATTGTACTCTCCATTTTGCTTCGTTCTACTACAAAGTTTCAAGTATTTTTGTTATAGCTAGAATTACTTTTAATATATATAATTATAAGATAATTTCAATATAATATTCTGAACATCTGCAGTTTTAGTTAGACGTTGAATATTTTCAAGTTAATTTTATGCTAAATTTCAGCTTTCCAACGGCTCCTTTTTAATACGTGTTTTCTCCTACAACATCAGAGTGCAGCGCCACATTAAATACGCACTACAATGACAATAGTTTAAAGCGATTTGAAGCATGTTTTATTTTCAAAATGGAAATATGGTTTGGGGGAGGCAGAGCTTTGTGACGTCATATTTGAGGGGGGTCTGACTTTTTGTGACGCCGTGTTACGAGGGGGGGAGGGGGGTCAAAAATCGGCCAAAATCGCGTGACGTCATTTATGGACGGCCCCTAACCAGAGCAAGCGAGGGGATTTGTTTTTCTTTAGACAACATTGAGATGAGTGTGGGTTGATTCCCTGACTAGAAGGAGTGGAGTCTATGTGCACGAGAAAGAGGAATTCTGGTATCATAGCGTTACGGGGCGTGTGATCACATGGGGACGCCTTCATCCAGCAGTGGATAGACCACGGTTGATAACGATGTGGAAAATGTATTTCAGGAATATTTCTCACTCAACGATTATGATGGTGTTGCCCTGTTGTCGTCATCATCATCGTCGCCTGGCCTATGACCAATGTGCCCAATTTCACCAGACGTTAGAAGCTACGCTAAGATAGTTGGAGCCTACATGCGCGTTGCTACTGCCGGGTTTAATCCGGAAAAATCGGGGAATTGGCATCTGGGTATTCGTGTGGCAGGAATGAATTTGTACTGAGATCTGGTCGCGGTGTTGTGTCGCATTTTATAGCAGTAAATGGCACGGCGTTGATAATAGCACCTGGTGCTCACTCAGAAACAAATTCCGAGTTTGGTATGCAGTGGACAATTGGCGACCCTTAGCCTGGACAGTGGTGCTTTGATGGGCGCCCATCGTGCATACCACATTGTCATAGGCGGCTGCGGGGCTTTGCTTCACTGAACCATGACTAGAATGAGTGGAGTCTATGTGCACGAATTATTTTGTCCTTTGAAAAACGTGACACATTTTTTACTATTTGGCCGTGTCGGGTGGTGGAGGGCTACGACACGTTTATAAATAACGCGATCTGACCCAAACACCTATATTATGAATAATATTGGTCGCGAAAGCCTACGTGTTAAAATGAACCATGCTGCCCAGCGTGGTGAAGTATGGTCGAATGAAGGGGCTGTATCGAAGTCTCGTCAACTGGAGATCGCCGTGGTGGTCGGCACTGTTGATGGTTTACATCTGCTCAGTGTTTATGGAAACACCTGATCTTGTTGTCTTCATCCACAAACCGCATCACGCGGTTTGTGGACAAAACCGGCGCCCGCCGTCACAAGCAGCCAGCTGCAGTCGTAACACCGCGCGCACCACCACCGCCGCCACACCACCACCTCCGCCACACCACCACCGCCGCCACACCACCACTGCCCCGAGCTGCAAGGAGATCCGGGCTCAACGGCCAGGGCGAGGCTGCCGTCAACCCCGCATCGCAGCCTTTTCAGCGCAGAGGGCGACAGCAGGTAAGCTACTGTTATAAAAACTGGCTACATTTTCACGATATACATGAAATCGAATCAATCACAAACAAAAGGCATGGAATAAAAAACATTTATTTATTTATTTCAAACAATCGACGGAGTTATAGTTTCTGATGTGGATGGAAAGAGCATTCCACAGCCTTGGTGCGTAGCATCGAAAAGCACCACGGTCCCCTCGTGAGTGTAATATGCCTCGTGGAAACTGGGATGGCAAGTAACACGATGTAACACAATTTTTGTTCCTGGGTAGTAAGTGTTATTTCGTAATTGCTTATGCCTAAAGAGGAGAGAAAATGGCTATTATTCCCCACAAACTTTGCTTTTGTGACCAGGACAGTGATATTTTGAAATGTACCTATTTTCAATGAGTAAACGTGCGAATTTCTATCTTTTCGTTCAAATAAAGTCAGAAAAAACAACATATGAATCAAAATTAACATGTATTTATCCTAAAGTAATACAAAAATAACTACAAAAGATTTATAAGTAGTTTTTCGAGATTTACGATTATACAGTAAATCACTTTCACGAATCAGCCCCCAAATGTAGTCTACCATCATGTTCTCGTTATACTGTCCTTGGTAGTGGCGTTCAAAGTCCAGTATATCCTGGTGGAAGCACTCGCCTTGTTCCTCCGAGTACGCTCCCATGTTCTACTTGTTTTTATCAAGATGAGCAAAGATATGGACTTTGAGGGACATCCTACAGCTCTTTGTGCCGCAGTTCTTCACCAGAGTCTCAACCAGCTCCACATAGTTTTCGACCTTGTGATTGCCTAAGAAGCCACGAACCACTGCGACACAGCTACTCCAAACCACTTTCTCCTTACTAGTGAGCTTCTTGGGGTATTAATTGCATACTCTTTGGTTTTTTCGGTAAAGTCACGTAGGTTTAAAAAGAAAACAAATAAATTAAATCACAACGTTTCGGAGGCAACACAAGCTTCCATCTTTAGGTGAAACCGTCACAGCAAAATTACACTTGATACAAAATTACTTGATACAGTAATTTTGCTGTGACGGTTCCAACTGAAGACGGAAGCTTGTGTTGCCTCCGAAACGTCGTGATTTAATTTATTTGTTTTCCTTTTTTAACCTACGTGACTTTACCGAAAAAACCAAAGAATATGGATCCTTGCAGTCACGAAAACTTCAAATCTATAATTAATTGCACTCCATGATCTTCTTTATCTGTGGCCCGACGAAGACACCGGCTTTGACCTTTGCCTCAGACAGCTTAGGGAATAAGTCTTGAAGGTACTTGAAGGCTGCCGACTCCTTGTCTACAGCTCTGACAAATTGCTTCATAAGGCCCGATTCCGATTGCCTCGAACAGACTGGTCACATTGTTGCAGAAGCAGAGCCCATCTTGACAGGTGAAGAAGCTGCAAAAAGGTTGGTTATGCTTCCTCTGATCTGCGACTTGCACTCTTTCATCCTACAAGTTCCACTGCTTGAGCCGAGATGTGAAAAGCACGGCATTGGACTTAGTGAGACCAAGATCTCTGATCAAGCCGTTGAGGTCTTTTTGGTTGGGGTAGTATGGGTTTCTCTCCTCAGCTAAACCTATGAAATTGTCATCTGGATCTACAACGTCTTCCTCGCTCTCTGAATTGCTGCTCTCTTCTAAAGAATGCTGCTCTCTCTCTGGAGGAGTGGGTACATGGAGCTCATGGCAGTGTGGCACCGGACGATGGATGAAGGAAGGTCCGGATACGTGATAGCAGGTGCATTCTTGCCAGTCCGACGTTTGGAAGGGTCCACCATGCAGAAGTAGCAGTTGCTTGAGTGGTCAGTGGGTTCCCGCCAAATTCTTGGGATAGCGAACTTCATGGCTCTTTTTTCTCCTCTGTACCATCCTACAAAAATACATTTATTTCACCCATGACTAATGTGTAAGAGATTCTCGCAACATTTTTGATATGATATATTTTTTAAATAACATAAAAAATTGTAAAACATTTAAACGTTAAAACTTTTACAATTACATTTTTTAAACAAATTTTATAACATAAAATTCCATCTTACCTTCCAGAGTTGTTTTTTAATTGCTCGCAGGTGAAATGAGGTGCCCATGGTTTGTCTTGATCCCCAACAGGCATGCCGAAATATGCCTTGTAGGCCTCACACATCTTAGCAGATACTTCCACAGAGTACTTTTTCGTTCTTGTCTTGATACAATGGCCGCAGACATAGCAAAATGTGTGTGCTGGATGCTTGCAGCCTCTTGATGCCATCTCAGAAAAATGCAAATATGTATCCACTTAGACAACTGGAACTAAACTGGAAAGTTCTAGAATGTTATTCAAGTTACTCCAAGTTTACTCAGCACTGAATCTATCTGGAATGTTCTGGAAAATAGGTACATTTCAAAATATCACTGTCTTGGTCACAAAAGCAAAGTTTGTGGGGAATAATAGCCATTTTCTGTACTTTTGAGGCATAAGTAATTAGGAAATAACACTTACTCCCCAAGAACCAAAAAAATATTGCTACACAGTGCAATCCACCTTCTATGGAGCACAACTTGTGGGAAAGGATGTAGGGATATATTCAGGGTGTTGAGGTAGGCAGGTTCCAGACCATTCACAGCCTTGTAGGTTAGTAGCAAGACCTAAAATGGCATCCTGAATTCCACTGGGAGCCAGTGCAGGAACGCTCCTCTTATTTTTTCGTATGGATTAATAGCAGCAGAATAAAGATACAATTTTTGATTTTGTTATCCACCCAATTGTCTGTTTAGAAGCAAGAGTGGATCTCGTCCATTCACTCCTTTAAAAGGAGCAAAAACAGCAGTAGCAGCAGCGGAGTGTTCACGACGCGGTCGACGGTTTGGGATTCGTGGCCACTCCACTCGCAGGCCTCCGAATCTTTGATGGCGCCATTTGTGGCATCGGTGACCCGCATCGGCCACACTGACCAATCCTGATTCGGTCGATGGTCGACCATTGCGGCATGGATGGTTGAAACCGGGAGGTTCGACGGTAGGGTCCCGTATGAAATGTTGATTTTTGATGTCGGCAGGGATGATAAGACAGGAGTAATGTTCTAGACTCGGGCGGCTCAGTTGTGTACATACTGCAGCTTTTTTGGAAAACCAGTCGAGGTAGTTAACATCTCGCCACTGTGGCGCCTCGTGGATAGACCACGGCTCATGGTAATGGAACTGTTTTTGTATTTAACACTCTGTTAACTTTTCCCAAATATATATCCCGATTTTGCTAGCAGCTTAAAGTCACGACTCAGAGAATCTACGACTGCAAAGTCAGACTGATTTCCTGCTCAAATAACCACCGAGGTGGTGCGTACCTCCTGATTACAGCCCTGAGTCAGTGGCGGAAATATTACATTCTTATGGTGGCGGCGAGTCTAACCATAAGACAACCATTGTTCTATGCATGCATGTTGTCATTATGGTAAGTTGGACGTTATGGTAATGTATGTATGGTGAACTTCTTTCGCACTGTACGTAGCCAACCATGCTAATCGGAGGTGCGGGGGAAAGACAACAAACTAAAGACAAAAAACAGTTCTAAAGAAACGAGTTTTCAATATAGACAATTTAAAAGTGCACAGCTCCAGTGGCTTCCTAATATTGGAAGGAAGAGCGTTCCAGACGGCTGCAGAAGCGCATCTGACTTCCACACAAAGGGACGATGGGTTGAGTCAACCCTGCCTCAAGCAGGATTTGAACTCTCAAACCTTGCTACTGCGAGCCGCTCGCTCTGCGCCGCTAAGCCACCTGTGTCCGGATGCGTAACGGACCCCAGGTTCTCGAAATCCCGGCTGCTACGCGCCCGTGTGAAGGGCCACACGGTGATCTACGAAGATGACGGGAGGCGAAAGGGCAGGTGACGATTGCAAGGGCGACTGTGGAATTTGACTATTTACAGCTTCCCCTTCCCCTCCGCTTCACAGCGTTCCAGACGTTCTGCGTAGGGGATACGCGTCGGCAAGCAGCAAACATTTACCACAATCGAGCGTGGTGCTACTCAATGATCCCAATGCGCGGCCGCACGGACAGCGTCATCAATATGACATCACGGTAAGGCCACGAGGCCCACAGAGGCCACCATCAGGGGATGTGACGAGCATTCAGAGCGTATAACGCGCTGCACAGTTCCCGTTCACTCGCAGACAGGAGACAAAGACAGCAAGATATAAATGTGTCGTTCAACCCGTCACCACCCGATACGGCCAATTAGTAAGGTTTGTCATGTTAACAAAACGTGCCAATTCGTTACTAGTGTAGTGTCTTCAAAAATTACTCACACCAACACGTTGTAACAAGTCACCTGCTTACAATTTATTCACCTATTCTTGCACCAGTTGTAGGCACTCCTATAACTCTCTTTACGGTCACTTATGTTTAACTTCTCCCCACTCTTATCTACCTTTCACCTCACTTATCCTGCACTCAGCAGCTCTGCTCTCAGCGTCTCCGCACACAGCATCCTCGCACACAACGTCTCCGCACACAGCGTCTCCGCACACAGCGTCTTTGTACACAGCAACTCTACATCTACACTGCTGCATTCACCTATGCTCCCTCAGACCCGCTCACCCATCTGTCCCGGGTGGGGGGATCAGCCAACACCCGCCCGGTGACGGCGTGAGGGTTGAGGTCCCATTGATGGCTGGAGCGGCAGCGGCGAGATGTCTTCACTCTTCGTCCTCAGCAACAACTCCCTCTCCACTCACTCACTCACCCTTATATCCCTCTGCTAATTATCTGAGACCTCTCGTGTGTCTCTTTAAGCTCTCGCCAGGCTGGCGCCTGTTGGCCCATCAATCAACCCTTATCTCCCGTCTCCCTGGCAACACCTCCGGTCTCAACGTGCACAACCGGTCGACCCCGTTTGCACCTGCTTCGCCCCTTAACAACTGGCGGTTTGTCCGTGCAAACCTAATGTTGCACACGCGCACCTGTTTGCCCTCAGTTGCCCTCGGTTAACTGTGCGCACTGCGTATTTCACTCCTCTACACGAGTACAGCACATCGGTGTGTTGGAGAGTAAACCCACAAAATTTACAATTCGAGTACCGTGATGTTTCGCCGGTAATTATAACAACCAGCATCATCAGGCGACAGACAGATTTTGGAGAATGCCTCCTCTCTTGGTCCCAAACAGAGGGGGGTAAAGGTGATGTCGTTATCACTATGAGCCTATCAGGTGCGAAGACCAGAGGGGGGTTAATGTAGTCAAAATATTACAATAGATAGCTATTGTTAGTTGGTAAGAAGGCTGTCAGGACCAGTGCCAACAATTGGCCAATCTATGTGGTTCTATATTGTCATGTTTGGCCAATGCAATTAACGAGCATATATACACATACACATGAGAGGAACCAATGAGTGCAGAATCCCCGTGCAAATTGTAAATTCATCCACCTCCTGTACTGTTTTCGTATCTTGGCAAGCCAGGAGATGCCCACGGGTAGGGAGGGAGCCCCACAAGTGTGCCTGAACCGCCAACCGTCGCCTCCAACACAGTGCTGAATACAGGCAGCCGCGTGCAGCACAGACATCTCCAATAAACACGGTTGGCTACGTACGGTGCAAAATAAGTTCAACATACGTACATACCGTCGAATGATATACTGCAACATGAAGCTTAACCAAATTGTGCTGGCAGTGTCATGAGAGGTGTCCATTGGGATCCCTTGCAGAGCTGAACTAAACTGTTAAACGAAACTATTTTTTATTTTACCAGGTAAGGCCCACTGAGCTATAAAGGTCTTTTTCAGAAGCGACCCGGCTATCACAAATGATAGCTCAACAAAGTGGCTTATTGTGGAAATGTTTAGCGGCCAAATACTCACGTGTTTCTAAATCTGCAGGGGAAAACTAGAGGACCCGGAGAAAATCCTACGCGACCACGAGAACATTCAGACTCCATATATACAGGCATCGTCAGGGTCGGGATCAGAACCCACGACCTCCTTATACCAGGCGAGGTAGTTAATATCTCGCCACCGTAGCGCGAAGGCAATGCAAGCCTTCGTGTCAGAGTGCCCCAAAGAATTGTAGTTTCTAGAACTCCTTCTGAGATCCCTTAAAATGGTCCACATATCAGGGGGTGGCACTTTGCCGCTCAGCTTGCCACGTGAGAGCAATGCTTCTCGCGTGATGGCTGGGCATTAAGCCACGTTTAGTGAAGAACCAAATTTTCTGCGCAATCGTCAATTCACTAAACTTCAGAAGCCAGTTGAATACAGCAGCAGCAACAACTCATCATATACCCCCAGCATTAGCGATGAGGAATGATCATGTTCCCTCTAGAGGTTTTCGTTTCTTTTGAAAGTGGCATTTTTGGGAGGTGGCCGGGTGGCCGGCACTGCGGAGACCCCTGAGTTCGAATCCAGGTCAAAGCCACCAGTGAAAAAAAACCACCCACATTAAATTCGGATCTGCACCTCATTCAGCTATATTCCACCTCCGAGAATGTAGGTGACAAAGTGCTGCCACTTTGTGTGTGGATTAGAGATCAACGCTGAAGGGATCTCGGAGGCAGCTCCGTGATGTCTGCTTCCGTGGGCCACTCCCTGGCTCATGGAGGGTCTCGTCGCTCTGTCGCCAATCCGAATGGATTCTTCCTCTCGTGATGCCAAGAGCACGAGTTGGGATGAATTTGTTGGAAAAGACTGAAGGTGTGATTTTCTGTAAAACCCTTCCCGTTGGAGACCCAACATGAATGCGCTTTGCAGACAGAAAGACAATGAGCTGCTGGAGGCGGCACGGCACAACAACGTGAAAGCCATCGAGAGGCTGCTGATCAGCGAGAAGGTGAACCCCTTGGCCAGAGGTAAGTGCAGGGCCACATTCCTGTCGCGTGCCTACTTCGACCCGCTTGTCAATCAACTGCTGGATGATGGGCCCTCCCCACGCTGCGTGAGCCGTGGGGGTTATTTTACGTTCCTTCACCACGCCGGTCAGTGCGTGTTGGGGAATAGCATAGATATCGGACATGGAAGTACTGCACAACAGTGGATGTTGTTATGCTGCCCTTAATGCAGCACAGCATTGCAGCAACCAATGGCATTCTGTCGTGGGTTTTGACCCATCCAGAGCGCTATCCAGGCTCAAAACCTGCTTAGCTATCCACACCGATTAGCAAAGAAGTTGAACATACTCTACATACACACGTACAGCCTCCAGGATCCGAGAGGTTGGGGCAGTTTGTTGCAACAATAAACAAGGCCGGTGTTTGTTCAATAACACAGCAGCAAAAATACGTGTAATTTCCGCGAGGACCCCGAGGTCACAGCTGTGATGGGCACAACAGCGTGGCCGGGAACACAAACACCGTGCAACGGGAAGGGACCCCCACACCGCCTGGTCGACCCACGTCCACAACGCAGGCAAAATGTGACGCCACGGTGGCGAGATGTTAATTACCTCGCGTGGTATACAGGTGGTCGTGGGTTCGATCCCGACCCTGATGACGCCTGCTGTATATTTTGAGTTTATGTGTTTTCTCTCCCCGTGGTCGCGTGGACTTTTCTCCAGATTCTCTGGTTATTCCCTCCACATTTAGAAACTGCATTTGTGGCCAGGTCGCTTCTGGAAAAGAGCTATATAGCTCAAGTGCGCCTTACCTCGTAAAATAAAAATAATAGTTTAACGGTTTTTAAAACGGCAACACCATTTGCAGCTCTATGCCGATCCACTGCTGGATGACAGGCCTGCCCGTGCCGCTATTTTGGTACGCTGGTCAGTGCGGGTCGGTTAAGGGACGGGAGTTGGGCGTAGAACCTGATCAGAAATCAATCGCCGGGTGGACAGGGGCGGGGGGATTTAACTGCCGTGCCTGGAGATAGAATCGAACCGTCCACCTTTGGTTTTGCCAGTGCACTTCGCTGACTGCTGCACCAGGGCAGGAAAACAAATTGCTGGTGGTGTGGACGACGTGGAAGAGAGAAGCAGTAGAACTTGGGGCGGAGTTGTGACGGTGCGTGTGCGCGTTCAGGGGAGCTGGGAGAGACCGCCCTGCACATGGCGCTCCTCTGCAACAGCCAGGATGCGGCGATGATGCTCATCCACAGGATTCCACCGCTGCTGAACCAGCCCATCACCTCTGACATGTACCAAGGTAGCGTGGTTGCAGCGGACACACGATGTCGGGACTCGTAGCCGGGAATGCCACGAGGCGACTCCACGCAAGTGTGCGGGAAGCGGGTGGGGCAGTGCAGCCCCCTGCACTGCGCAGCAGAGGTCACTCAAAGGGATCTCAGAGGTAGCTCTGCGTTATCTGCTTCAGTTGGCCATTCCCTGAACGTGAAGAGTTTGACTGATTTTCGCCGTAGGATGACCGAAGCCACATTCAAGTCAAGGGACAAACGTTACTCTGGGTGGCAGGCCAGGCGTGGAAGTTCTGCCGCCGTGTTGTGTGGATCAGAGTGTTTGGTGATACTGCATTGGCCGTGGTGCACAAGAACAAATAACAAAAACCTCAACACAGAGAAGCCACTCTGCTACTCTGACCTCTCTATTTGCGTAGAAGAAAGGGCCATTGCCCGAAAAAGTTACTTACCACGATGTTCGTTTTCATTTTAAGGCCACGTAGTGTCATTGACGAGCGTGTTGTGTGGACCCGGGGTCATAACGTCGTAACTGTGTCTCCTTGTTCTGGCAGTGATCCTCGCCAAGAACCCACGGGTGGTTACCATTCCATCAATCAGTCAATCACTATATTTACTAAGCATTTAAATGTAATGAACAGTTTAACAATTCACGGCATCAACATCATGCATTACCAGGCCGGTTTCAGGATTAACCACGTGCTTGATTCAACTAGGCCTGACTTAAGCTTAAACAAGTGCTCAATGAAACTAGGCCCGACATTTAATAATGGCGCATGGCACAATTATCACAAAGTTATGATTAGGGAGGTAGCTCTGTGATATCCAATTCCACGGGCCACTCTACGAGGGTTCTGAACGGACTCTCGACTCATGATGACACGATGTCGGTTGCACGTTTGCAGTAAAATTGGGGGAGTAAGGCATATTTGTTGTAATGTTTTATTTGTTTTTTGTCAATAATCGACAACATATTTTTTTAAAACTTATATTAGCTTCTAAATAAAATAAAGACCTTAATCTGTATGTCTCCAAAAACATCTAGTGCATTTCCCGACAAGGTAGAAAGCTAAAAGTTGGTAGACATGTAGCTTTTAGGACACAAACAGTAAAGATCAGAGATTTTTCATTTTAAGGCCCCCAAATCTCGATTTTACGTGCCCCATAAACATGTTTGTTCGCGTCAGTCAGAAACAGTTCAAAATTTAAGATTGTGCTTTGTTTCCTTTGATAGAACATTAAACATTAAAAGGCAGATACAATTTCAGTGAGAACCATTTTCTTTGGGTCTTTCGGTAAAGCCACGTAGATAGAAAAAATAACAAAAATCACGACGATTCGATCGCAACACAAGCAATCGTCTTCAGGTGCAAAAGAGGGAAATCTGCTGAGGCAGAGATGGACGGGGCAGCTAATGTTAGCGAGTAGGAGAGAGCGAGTGAAACATAGCAACAGACACCATACTCGAGAACTCACTTGGGCTGACTGTGAGAGTCGGGATTGCCGTGCGGTGCGACAGTGCACGCGTGACTAACCGCGCGTGACTGATCGTGCGTGCTCTGTGCGTGACTGACCGCGGCGGCGCAGGCCAAACGGCGCTGCACATCGCCGTGATGAACCAGGACGTGCAGATGGTGCGCGAGCTCCTCTCCTGCGGCGCCGACCTCCACTCCCCGCGAGCCACGGGCTCTTGCTTCACGTCAGCTGACGGCAGCAGCTGCTACTACGGTGAGCGTCCGCGGTGCCTACGAAGTCGAGGCTGGCGGCAGAACGACAGCCAAAGGCAGGGAGGGATTGGACAGCGCACAAAGATGTGCACTGCGCGTACAAAAGGCACTCAGTATTTTTTGCACTAATGTAAAAACCATGAGCTGTTCTGGAAGAACTGCCTTTGTTGTCTTCTTGTCTTAGGTCACCGATACAGAGATTAGACAATGGACTGGTTTCACCATTATTATTATTACGACTCATCAGTAATTAATAGGACTAATTATGAGGACGAAACCGCTCTGTCGCATTGCTGTTGTCAGGCGGTCACATTTGCTATATTTTTTTTGTATTGTGACCTAAGACAACAGGATCACAATGTAGTCCTTCGGGAACGACTGATTGTTTTTTGTTGTTGCATAATTGCACCGAGACCGAGTGCTTTGTGTACACGTTTCTGGATTTTGTTTTAAAAACTTGCTGTTTCCAGGCCTGCTCCATTGTCCTGTTATTAATTGGGTTTCCTCAGTTATTTACAGATCTCATCTCAGCTTTACCCAGACCACACTGAGCTCATAAGAACCGCTCGTGTGGCCACCGTTTGAGTTTGCGGTTTCGAAATGACCACGTGTTCAGTTCTCTTGAGCTGTTTGCCACAAGTGTGGTTAATTTAACACGTAGGCTTTCGCGACCAATGTTATTCATAATCAACGTTTTTGGGTTTAGATCGCGTTATTTATAAATGTGTCGTAACCCTCCACCACCCGACACGGCCAATCAGTAAAAATGTGTCACGTTGACAAAGACAAATAGTTCACTGCTTTAGCCCACCGGTGTGTTGAAGCCACAACATTTACAATTTGAGTACGACGTTTCGCTGGTAATTGCAATTCGCCAGAATTGCCCGATGATGCTGGATGCAATTACCAGCGAAACGTCGTACTCAAATTGTAAATGTTGTGGCTTCAACACACCGGTGGGCTAAAGCAGTGAACTATTTGTCTTTGTCAACGTGACACATTTTTACTGATTGGCCGTGTCGGGTGGTGGAGGGTTACGACACATTTATAAATAACGCGATCTAAACCCAAAAACGTTGATTATGAAGTGTGGTTAATGCAGACGTGATGCCTTTCAAAAGGTATCTATTTGGTGTTGATTTGCAGCTTTCGTGACTGCAGGAATCCATACTCTTTGGTTCTTTTTGTAAGTCACGAAAAAACAAAGAGTATGTATCTATTTGGTGTTTGAACATCTTAACACCTCCTGTTTTATTGGCATAAAAGGTCAAACCTATTCTTATTTTTCATCATTTTGGATACTGCCAAAAAAAGGTCCCCTAGATATCACATCAATGTTTGCTCGCTGTTCTGTCGAGCGTCGCTCCGGGGCAGGGAAAGCACCGATGCCAGAGGGAGAGCCATGCATTGCCGTGCGGACGCGATCTGACTGATCACATACTAGCGCTGCGTGCCTTTAACTGGCCACGGTTTCGCAGCCCTTCATCGTCCACGTGCAGATTTTTCCCATGCTGGGCTTTCCGTGTCGAGTGTTTTTTTTTTCCATGAAAGCATTTCGGAGTTGTAGCAATCCCGGGGAGAACCCGCACTTGGGAGGACAGGCGCCTCATCGCATCCCGAGACCGCAGAAATGTCGAATGAGACAGACGTGGGTGAGATACGGCAACGGCTTTGGGGGAGGCATTCATCCAGCCCCGGGCCCTGCGCTTTGGGGGAGCCCCCTGTGCTCCAACTGTCATGGTGTCAGATGTAATACTCCCGGTTTAGTTTGAAGGCACAGGGGGGCACACACATACGGTGGGTTTCGCCCCCCGCACCCTCCCCCCATGGACGGCCCTCACCACAAATACGAGCGTAGGAGTGCGGTGAACCCGAGCGAGGTCAAGCGAGGTCCGCGTCCGCCACACGCGATCGCTGGTAACGGGCGCCCGTGGTGTGCGTGGCGACAGGAGAGTTCGTGCTGTCGTTCGCCGTGTGCACGGGCAACGGGGAGATCGTGAGACTCCTCGTCAAGAACGGCGCCACCTTAAAAGCGCAAGACTCGCTGGGTGAGCGCCGTGCACCGCCCGTGAATACGGCTTCTGTCATCCTACATCACACAGATGCTATAGACTAGAATATTTGTTTTATTTGTTATCATTATTATTGTCATTATCGCTACGATGCTTATTTAATGAGGAAAGCGTCACCTGGAGTCTCAAGAATCTTTATTCAGGAGGGTCCTGCCAGGTTTTCACAGTAGGTGGCGATGTTGCTGCCGCGCGTGATCCCAATTGAGTGAATTGCTCTGAGCATTGGGATTTTTGGCCAATGCCGCTTTAATTGCACACCTGTAGCTAAGGGATGAGACCCATGCAGCCCCGAGGGGAGAGCATACAAACTCCACACTGAAAAGGTGCCTGAGACGGGAATCGAACCCAGGAACCTTCCTACTGTGAGGCACAAGTACAGCATGACCACCTGAGCGCCACCCTGCCGCCCAAATGCTCACACACCCACCCATGGACTGAGATACAGCCGTTACAAAGACAATGATCCCCCCCCCCCCCCGTATAGGCTTTACAAACTCTCTGGGGCACATGCTGTTAGCGAGCAGCGCCTATGAGGGGCACGGCACACGAGACGAAACCCTGGGCGCGCGGTGCGTTCCGCGTTGCGAGCAGGGAACTCGGTGCTACACGTGCTGGTGCAGCACCCCAATGGCGAGATGGTGCGCTCCATGTACGACCTACTCTCCGAGCTGGTGCAGCCCGACGAGTGGTGCCAGATCGAAAGCCTCGCCAACTCCGAGGGCTACACGCCACTCAAGCTCGCCGTAGCGCTTGGCGACGACGCGGTGATGACCCCTCCCCCTCCTCCTCTCCCCTTCTCTCCCCCCTTCTCTCCTCTGCATCTCCCCCTGCTCGTCTCCCAGCTACGTGCCTCAGGGCACCTGCCCGTCTCGGATTTGTATGTATGTTCCGTATGAATGTTGAACTTCATTCGCGACGTACGTAGCCCACCATGCGAATCGGGAGGTGCGGGTCCCAGGATTGTCAGTCTCCTGTTGTAGGCGGCTGCTGTGCTGGGAATATCTGCAAGCCTTCCCCAGAGTGAGCGATGGGGTGGGTGAGTGGGCGATTGAGCGAGAGGGTGAGTTGGTGAGAGGATGGGTGGGTGAGGAGTGAGTGAGTGGTTGAGTGAGAGGGTGAGTGGGTGACAGATGGGTGACCATGTGAGTTGGTGAGTAAGTAGGTGCTTGCTAACAGCACTTGCCCCAAACAGTCTGTTAAGGCTACACCGGGGATCGTTGTCTTGGTTCTCCCATAGTCGATGCAGCCATTAGCAGAGACTCGACGGTTTTGTGCCACACGTTAGCTCTCACGCCCTTCCATAGCATCATCACAGGACCGTGCATACTGCATTAGATCACATTTTATCCTATACTCTATAATCATCCATGCTCTACCCACTGCTGGATGAAGGCCTCCCCAAGCCATTGTCATCCCTCATGGCCCCGCCAGGTGACAATCCGTCTGGCATTTGAACGTTGATCCAATTTTGTCGCCCCATCTCCCAATGGGTCGACCTCTCGGGCGAGTTCTCCGCTGTCCGTGGCTGGCGTTCGAACGTAGCAGCACGGCGTGATGCCTGCGAGCGTGGTTCTTAATCAGAATCAAAATATTAATTTATACCGGAGGTGGAATCCGATGAGCTATACAGGTCTTTTTTCACAGATGTACAGTTGAGGCAGGTCGGAACGTTACAACAACAATACTAAAACACAACAGGCGTGCAAAGTATAGGAAAGGTAAACAAATCACTATAAAAAATAAACGATATATTTGATAAGTTAATACCTCAGAGCGGGCTTTACGTGGTATTTTTCAGAAGAAACCTGGCTACCACAAATGATAATAGCTCAACGACGTGGCCCAATGCATGGGAATGTGATTCTTATGGCGGCACCACGGGGTACCAAATAATACAAAATGCCCGAGGCAATTACATTTTTTATATCTGGGACACTTTTTTCCAGGGGTGGACTTCACTCCGCGACTGGGGTACCAATAAATCCGAAATCGGTGCGACTCTGCGATGTCGAAATGCAGCGAGGACGATTGCGCTGAAACCCTGAACGCTCGCGGTACGCACCATAGTGGTGCATCGTGTACAGCTCGTCGAGATGAGTCGATTGCCGCGTCGCCAACCGTCAACAGGCAAAAATTGCTCTTTGGTCCTTTCGGTAAGTCACGTAGGTAGAAATAAAACAACTCACGATGTTTCGATCGCAACACAAGCAATCTTCATCAGGTGGAACAACCACAGCAAGAAGAATGCTGAAGTAGGCGAGAGAGCTGCCGTGGTGGGGCTACAAGTGGGAAGCTGGTTGTGGGACACAGGGGGAAAGTAACTCGGAAAAATCTACTAGTTCCCGGCGGGTATGATGGAAACAACCACAACCAGTTAAGGCTTTACCTGGTTATAACATCCTTCCAATGATTGCTCAATTTGTATACATCTTCTCGGTTGAAGTTATGTCTATGTTTATATATCTGGATGGCTTCAAGAACAAACCTTTGATAGTTGCTCGAAGGTTTGCAGAGTACCTTGGTCTCGGAAAAAACAATATCATGCGAGCCAACAGCGTTATAACAATGGTCAGCCACGGCAGAGGTATTGGTTATGCCGGGTTTCAGATCTGCCTTGTGTTCCCGAACACGGTCCGAGACATGTCGTTTACGTTTCCCCAATGTAACTGCTACCGCAGGTACAACTCAGTTTGTAGACTCCAGGATATTGCATGTCAGGAATGACCTCCTTCACAGATGGAATTAGAGCATGGATTTTGTGTGCTCTATTGAATCGGACCTGGATCTTGTGTTTGTTTAAGATTTTGGAAATATTTTTGGTAACACCTTCTATGTATGGTAAAGTGATGGTTTTGATTGGCTTCTCAGGGGATTGTTTCTCCATGGTTGGAGAAACAACTTGCGAATAATTTCGGTCCGAGTACCCATTCATCTTAAGGGACCTGGTGTACGTGTTCCAGTTCACTGGCTAGGTGGTGTTGGTCGGAAATGCAGTGGGCCCTATGGTGTAGTGTCTTGATGAGGGAATTCTTTTGGGCCGGATGGTGGTGGGAATCAGATTGCAGATTGGAATCTGTGTGGGTGGCTTTCCTATAGACAGAGTCCCAATGAGCCGTCAGGTCTCTTCTCAAACAAAACATTCAGGAATGGTAGCTTACCATCCTTCTCCAATTCCATGGTGAATTTGATGGATGGGTGTATGGAATTTATGTGGTTGAGAAATTGGTTCAATGCTGGCAGGCCATGTGGCCAAAAGACGAAAGTGTCATCTACGTATCTCTTCCACAAGGAAGGACATAGGGTGGGTGTCTGGATGGCATCTGTTTCAAATTTCTCCATGAAAACATTCGCTATCACTGGTGATAAGGGGAAACCCATGGGGGTACCTTAATTTTGTTTGTAGAAAGTACCATTCCAGGTGAAGTAAGTGTTAGGAAGGCAGTGCCTAGATGACACTTTCATCATTTGACCACATGGCCTGCCAGCATTGAACCAATTTCTAAACAATTCATGCAAGTCACATTGACACATTTATCAGTGCTGAGCTATCTCACCCCCATCAAGACCCTGCCCTTTTTCTATGTGGTCGGCAACCAAATGGTCCATGGCCCATGTGGCCAGTTATATCCAAATGAGCTATGTATGCAAGACCACAGGTGTACCAAGAGGTATCCATGGAACTACTTGAAAGATACTCAGTCGGCCCATGATGGCTATCTTCTATATCGTCACAGAAATACTGAGCATGGTGGATTTCAAACAATGCTCAGACCTGCCACTAACTCGCTAATTAAGGTTCACAACTGGTGGATCGTTCCCTACTGCCCTCTCCTGTGCAAGATCTTCTAGGCCCACTTTATAGGAAAATTTTGCTATTCTAAAAAAATCCATCAAATATGTTTGCCAATACATCAACAAAGGCTCTGACATGGCTGTCTTTGCCTTACAAAATAGAGGGGCAAAGTGTGCATGAGCTCAAACTTTTTTCCAAGGAACATACATCAGCAACAATGAGGCCATTTACTGAATTATTGGCTTCTCCATCCATGACCGTTCCCCTACAGTCGTCCATTTGGCACTTCACCTCCAAAATGGTCAACGCATCGAACGTCACCAAAGGAAATACCCAACAACAGGCCCTGGCTCCACAAGATACCACCCTGATGGCGTTCTTTGTTTTGTGCCTAAGTGACCCATTTGCTGCCAACCTGCTCTACCATTAAGTTCCCTCCTACTATACATGGACTGCTACAAAAAATTGAAGCAACGTGCTGCTGACAGTGAATCAGATGCCTTAGGACGAGTCTACACAGTTCATCCCAACAATCAGCAGTGCTACTTTATCCCAATGCTTCTCCATGTTGCCAAAGGGCACAAATCTTTCCAAGACCTTTAAACAGTGGAAGGAGTTTTCTGTCAAACATACAGGGAAGCTTGCAATCTTCGTGCAATTCTTGCGCATGATCACCATCTTCATAAAGCTATGATAGAAGCTTTTGTTGGTCAATCCCCTTTCCAACTGACATTGCTCTTCTGCATAAATCTTCAAGTTTGCAGCTCATCTAACCACATGGGACTCTGGCAAAAATACAAATAGGGCATGAGTGAGGACATCCTCCACGGAGTTTAATGACAAAATACAAACCTCGACGTCAACTTTTCTGATGTCATCTTCAAACAGGCCCTCATCCTCCTTCAGGACAAACTGCACTCCATTGGTGGAAAATACCTCACGTCTATGGGACTACCAACACCCTACAGGGACAACCTGCATGCCCTTGCTCAAGAGATCCTGCATTAAATATGCTATTATGCTTTACATCTTCTTAAATTTATTTAGGAAAATTAACCACAGCTCATGGATGTGTAGTAGGTAATAAACTGGAGGGAACTTTAACTTGGAGGTCACACGTTTATTACAGCTCATAAGTTACAATACCAAGGGGTAACGGCCCCTTTCACCCGATACTCTCTGTAGCCGGCCAGCTTGCCTCTCTGGCTATCTCTACAGCTACCCTGCCGGAGCTGGAGTCTTCTCTGACGTCTTCACTGGTTATAATCTTGGAGCTTCACTGGTACAGCTCCAGCCTCATCCTAGCCAGGGGGTTCAGCTTTGCCCACAGGGCTCTTCTCTTCAGGGCTCCAGGTCGGTCTTCAGTCTTTTGTCTTCAGCCGGACGATACTGAGCTGAGCCATTCAGGACCCTCACTTATATACAGGGTCCCGGCTCACTCCGCCCCTGGCCACGCCTCCCTTCCAGAACCTTTGCAAAGGCCCTGGAGAATGACCTCATCCCACAGCCTCCTCTCGGGGGCCTGGGGTCCCAACCGTTGGTCCCTATGCTTCCCCCCAAGGATTGCCTAGGGCCAATTGCCCATCATCACTCTTGAGCAGGTCCGGCCTCCCTTCTGCTCTCTACTGGCCTGAGCGAGTACTGCCGGCTATGAGTAGTGGCGATCATGGCCAACCATGCCACTACATTACCCCCCCCCCCCTCCGTAGCACCCAGCCGTCCTGGCTGGCAACAACACCCCAAAATCGTGAAACCCAGAACAATTACGTGCGCCTCAACAAAACACAACAAGAATGACCCAACATAAATACCCCAACCCACCTGTACAAAAATCACACTATTTACAAATGAACAATCAGGCAACCGTGTGCAAAGAAAGCATCTGCACGAATCAGTCGCATCGCCCACCCACGACACGCTCCAAGAATAACAACATTAACAACAAAAACAATGACAGCGACCGAACGCGAG